AGTGGAGGCATTAGCAGAGAATGAAGAGAGGAGTGATCGATATACATTAAGGTCAGTAGGATTTTGTGATTTGCGTCATACTCTTTCTGCAGCTCTGAGCTTAGAACGATACTCACGGAGAACATCAGATAGCCAAGGGGCAGAAGAGGTGGAACGAGCTGGCCTGGAAGACAAGGGGCAGACAGTGTCTAAACAAGACGTACGAGTGGAGCAGAAACTATCAGTAGCACGGTTAACATCAAGAGATGATAACTGTTCAGGAGAAGGAAGCAAAGATGAAACCATAGCAGATAGCCGGGAGGGTGAGAGAGAGTGTAGGTTACGTCGAAAAGTGACATGTGTAGGGGTATGTGTTGTGTTAGGAACCATGTTGAGGTTAAGAGTGAGGAGGAAGTGATCCGAGGTGTGCAGTGGAGTAACCAGCACATGATCAGTGGAGCAGATATCATCATTATATATTTAATATCATGTAAAATATATAATGTTAAATATTAAATAAACAATAATGACAGTATTTAAAATAATGATTTACAATAGCATAAAGAATACTTGTAATATAAATAAATTAAGTAAATTTGAAAAATCTAATAATAATAATAATTGTACATATTATATTATATTACATTATATTATATTATTTACCATAACATTATATTTTAAAGATCATATAGAAAAATAAAAAAGTTCAATTAAAAAATATATAAATTATAAGAAATAAAGATACAATATTAATAATAATATAAAATGCAATAAGTATATAATATTAAATAGACAAGAATGACAGTGTTTACAGTAACTATTTACAAAAACATAAGTAATCTTTAACATATGTTAGTCTATTTTTTATTTATTTCCATAAGAAAAAATACAATGATGATGATAAAACGTTCATGAAAAATGTTATATTAAATATAAATCCTAAAATGAATATATCAATAAACATTCCTCTTACACAACACATCAGGGAGCAAACGGCATGTATCAGTGATTTATAAATGCTAAGCAAGTGGGGTCATGAATTGAACACCATTGAAAGCTCTTGTACACATACAGACACAGGAGATGATTATCTGCTGTTGTGCTCCAGGCCTCCACCCAAGCAGAAGAGAGAGATCCAGATGGCCATACGGAAGAACCGAGAAACCAACGCAGTCCTGACACGTCTCAACAGTGAACTACAGCAACAGCTAAAGGTGCACCAACCGTACTGACACAATTATAACCACTTATACTTACAGTTCACTAAAAACATTCTGTCATTTTCTCACCCTCGTTTGCATTCACTGGAAGAAAGAAAGTGATACGGGTTTGACATGAGAATGCGTACATGATGTCAGAATTTATTTTGGGGACTCTTTCTGCTAATTTTTCTTCTCTTACACGTGGTTATTCCAAGAAGGCAAGCCATTAATAAATAAATTCTGCCCATTGATGCCCAAAACGTTAGCAGTCTCATATGATCATAACTGGACATTGAAGCTGAAGTCTGTTCACACATGGTTAGTTTTCTAGATGGGCAGCACATGCTATTTCCGACACCTCTAGCCAGACCAATCAAATATCTCTTCTAGTCTGGTATCGGACGCATGCTGCTTTTATATATAAACACAGACAGCTTGTGTTACCCTGAAGAGTTATTGAGTGACTGGAGATGGTGTAAAGTTGCAGTCCTCAAATCATTCAGAGATCCGCTCAATGAACACACACACACACACACACACACACATTCACACACATGCTGGCTTTCTGAAAATGCAAGCCTGGACTCAAGCTTGGTTCAAGCAGTTGTCTTTTTTAAAATAGTGCATCCTGCAGCAGCTGTTGTGTGTGTTTGAAATGAGGCTGAGCTATTTCTAATGAGCACCAGAATGTGCTTGGAAATGCATTTTACCACCGACAATGAGCGCAGAAAGAGAGAGTGAAAGAAAGTGAAGGAAAGGACAAACGAAAGACACTTGACTGCTGCTCATAAACGCCCATGTGCAGATCAGGTTGCACTGCATGCTGGGAACTGATTAACCTGCGGACCCCTAAATGCTATGTTACAACTCTCACATTACGAAGTGTTTGTTTTCTAGTCTTACTCCTAGTTTTGAGTACATTCTTGCTTTATTCTAATTTTCAATTTTATTACATTTTTTTACATTTATTTACTCAGCATACAGTAAATAATTAAATATAAATGTAAATATAAATATAAAAATTTTAATGTAAATATAAAATTGAGCTTTTTTATTTTTAAGTTTTAAAAATTAATGTAGCACCTTTATGTCATCAAAGTTTGCTTTGCTGTAAAGGTTGGACATTATTTAAATATAAATGACAAAATAGAATTATTTTATTTCAATTGTCTGGTGAAAATAAAGTGTGTAGTATGACAAAAATATAGAATGTCTGCGATGCATGAAGGTGTAGATGGATTTGATGAGAGAGATTTTGTTGATGAGATTTGATGAGAGAGAAACACTAAATTAGTTGTTTTAAATTCTTCATTTGATTTTAGGTCTCAGAACACCATGAAATGCATATTGAGTATGAGATTTGCTAAATATTGCATGTAACAATGTTATTAAATTTCTTGTGTTTTAAATATGAACTTTAAGTGAGTATTACATGATGGCTAATATAAATGTAAAAACAGGAGAAATGAGCATGTGCAATAAAATATCCAATATTGCCTATAACTTTCATAGTGGAAATGCATGAAGTCTGGTGAGATTGAGCATTGACACCATGTATGGAGTGTCAGATACACTGATACAGCAAGAATCTGACATATTTCAAAAAGCAGTCAGACGAGTGTAGATATTTGAGAAGATGTTCCTGATGGGTGTCAGATGACTGTGATGGTATGTGTGTCTGTGTCTGTCTGGATTGTTCTAGAAGATACGTGATATACGAGAGTTTAATGACAAATGAAGACAGGTAGCAATAAACGTTCCAGAGACATCTGTGAGCATCATCCTTACTGTTTGATGTCATCTGAAGGTCGTGACCTCAGTAGCGTTCCTCATATGACAGGTGTCTGTGTGCTCAAAGCATTTGTCAAATGGGGATCAGCTTATTAGTGTTAAATTAAGCATCACTATTACTATTGCTTATATTTAATGTTAGCAACCACTCAAAACACCCTGGCAACCGCATAGCAACAGACCAAACCCAAACATCCTTACTGTTTGATGTCATCTGAAGGTCGTGACCTCAGTAGCGTTCCTCATATGACAGGTGTCTGTGTGCTCAAAGCATTTGTCAAATGGGGATCAGCTTATTAGTGTTAAATTAAGCATCACTATTACTATTGCTTATATTTAATGTTAGCAACCACTCAAAACACCCTGGCAACCGCATAGCAACAGAACAAACCCACCAGGAATACCTTAGTAACCACATAGCAACAGATTGAACCCACTAAGAATATCATAGCAAAGGAATAGCAACACCCTAGCAACCACATGGCAACACTCTGAACTGACTTAGAATACCCTAGCAACTGCATAGCAACACACTAAACCCACTCAGAAGGCTTTAGCAACTGCAAAGCAACACACTAAATCCATTCAGAACACTTTAGCAAACGCAAAGCAACACCCTCAATCCACTCAAAACACCCTAGCAACCGCATAGCAACACACTAAGTCCATTCAGAACACCTTGGCAAACGCAAAGCAACACCCTAAACCCACTCAAAACACCCTAGCAACCGCATAGAAACACACTTAATCCATTCAGAACACCTTAGCAACCGCATAGCAACACACTAAATCCATTCAGAACACCTTAGCGAACGCAAAGCAACACCCTAAACCCACTCAAAGCACCCTAGCAACCGCATAGCAACACACTAAATCCACTAAGAACACCTTAGCAACTGCATAGCAACACATTAAACCCACTCAAAACACCTTAGCAACCACATAGCAACACACTGAACCCACCAAACCCGCTCAGAACACCTTAGTGACCACATAGCAACACACTAAAACCACCCCAAAAAATTGTAGCAACACACTAAATCCTTTTAGGACACCCTAGCAACCACATAGCAACAGAATAAACCCACTCAGAACACCCTAGCAACCTCAGGGCAATACACAGATCCACTCAAAACTCCTTAGCAACCACATAGCAACACACTACACCCACTCAGAACACCTTAGCAAATGCAAAGCAACACTCTAAACCCACTCAAATCACCCTAGCAACTGCCTAGCAACACATTAAATCCACTCAGAACACCTTAGCAACCACGTAGCAACACACTGAACCCACCAAACACACTCAGAACACCTTAGTGACCACATAGCAACACACTAAAACCACCCAAAAAATTGTAGCAACATACTAAATCCTTTTAGGACACCCTAGCAACTGCACATCGACACCTTGTCATGGTGACAGTGAGTATTGCATGTGCACACAACACTCAAAACATGTAATTATCAAGTTCTTTCTTTCCGAAAAGCTTGAGGAGATGTGGATTTGGATGAACATGGATCAGATCACTTACGTTTTTAGCTTCAGGTTTTTTATTGTGAAAGAGTGGAGGAAATCACGGAGGCCTGAAGGAAATCGTGAAATGAAATTGTTTCATTTAATAGAGTCAGCTTAGCTTATCTCAGATAATCACAGCCATTTTACTTCAGCTCTGTTTCTTTCTCTTCTTCCTCTCTTTCTTCATAAGGTCGTGCATCGGGAGCGAGTCACTCTGGAATCCCAGCTGGAGTTGCCGCGGCCCGTGACGTCAACCTGACCCAACACACGCTCGCTTTCCCTCTCTTTCTGTCTTTCTTGTGTCTAATACTTTGAGCTGTAACTCAGTCACATGACAGGATACGCACTTTAAGTGACCAAACATTTGGGACGCCACAAACACTGTGTCAGAAGCACAGGAAGAGGATTTTACCTCCACGGGAGAACGTGAAGAATTCTAGGAAGTTTGTTTGGCCAAGAAAACTATTTTTGTTTTGTTGGTTTTGGGCTTGTGTTTGTATGTTCCTGCCTGTTTTACAGCAGAATTATGCTAACACAGCTAACCACTAGTTACACATATCAATAAAAAGCAAAAGCTTCATTATTTCACTTCATTCCAGGAAACTGGAAATCAATTTATCAATGGATCTGGTTGTATAACTGCACAAATACGTTGACTAATGGTTTAAACTACGCTTTTTGTATTTTTGTTACCATAATTTAATAAACATGAATTTGTTTGAGGCTGATCATGTTCCACCAAGAATAAGCTTATGAGGGTAAATATCATGAAAAAGTCAAGAAACATTTCACCCCAAAAACAGAAGGAAAAAACAGAATTAGAATTATAATAACTAACTAATAATAATAATAATATTACATTACATTAATAATAATGTATATAGTTATAAAACAAATGTCAATTTTTATTTTTTAATATATATAGAATCTCACACACACATTTATAGGCTATATATATAATTTAATTATTATAATAAATATTCAAATTTTTATGTGTATAGTAAAGCCTGTTATGATTTGTTTTATGACAATTAAGTCAATTTTAATCATTAACTAAAGTCAGCACAACAAATAATATCCTATGGTTTTCTGTGGTGAAGGAATGCATATCATAGATTATGCATAGAGTTAACTTTTAATGCAACCTGAAGCCTTTGACGCTTTTCCCGTCAGTTCATCTCTCTGGTTTTCTCATATCGGACTCGAGCATGAGAACCGTAGAGAATCAATTGTTCAGGTTTGGTAAGTGGAGCAATAGGTTGTGACCTCTGATGACCCTGGAGAGCTTGTTTCACTGCCTGATCTCATGCGTTTCATATTATTTGTGTTGGGAATGGATAGGTTCCTAGATAACACCATGTGGCATGAAAAACAAGAACATCAAGCAGTCAGGAACACCTGTATGTGAGTATAAAGTTGGAGACTACTGGTCACTGCTGATTTACTTCTATTTTGATGTCACTATAAATGCTCACAGATAACTAGGCACACAGTCTGTACGTTTTTAAAACATTTCCATATGTTTCATGTCATTTAAATGATGCCATGTTCATTTGGTGCTCAATTATTATTTCTGCTCAATTATGTTCGGAATACTTCGATGAACAGCGTTTTATTATTATTATTATTATTTAAATCTTACCCCTGACATTTGAATGAAAGCCTGTCACGGTTACCACAAAAATATTCAGCAGCACAACTGTTTTCAACATTTATAATAAAAATAAATGTTTCTTGAGCAGCAAACCAGCATATTAGAATGATTTCTGAAGGGTCATGTGACACTGAAGACTGGTGTAATGATGCTGAAAATTCAGCTTTACATCACAGGAATAAATTACATTTTAAAATATACTCAAATAAAAAACAGTTATTTTAAATTGCAATAATATCTCACAATATTACTGTTTTTCTTGTATTTTATACTTTTATAAAAACCTAAAAAAAGGGATTAAAAATCCTTATTATTCCAAACTTTGTGTATGTACAAGTGTATGTTATTTTTTGTGCTAATTATTGGTAAAATATTAAAATTTTAACATACAAAAAAATTTTTTTGTGTAAGTTGAATGCATAATGTACAGACACTCCTATTTTTAACCAAAAACATAAAATTTGCCAAAAGACTTCATAAACAAGCGTTTAATGCAGTGAGGGATTTGTCCCTATAGTCAAAAGATCCTGAAGGAATGCTAATGCAAATCCTACCATTTGAAACCAATCCTAAAAAGATCAAGTAAAATCCTACAGAAATTCCCAGTTTACACTTTATTCTGTCGGATTAATTTTTGATTCCTTTAGGATTGATACTGAATTATGATTGGCAAAATTCCATGAGAATTCCTGTCAGGCATTCGAATGCAGAATTCCATTGGTTCAGATTCCAAACGGGCCTGATAACAATAATACCATTTTCATACATCAATCCAGATAAACAACAGAATTCCAGCTATTGATCCTAACACATTTCGTCAAATATTTATTTTAGTCGTTTAAAGGGGTCATATGATGTTGCTAAAAAGAACATTATTTTGTGTATTTGGTGTAATGAAATTTGTTTATGCGGTTTAAGGTTAAAAAAACATTTTTTAAAAACGCGTCGATTTTTATAAAGCTCTTCGGTCTGAAAAGCGCAGTAGAGAGCTGACAGGAAAGCACTGGGAGGAGAGAAGGGAGCAGAATCGGCAAAGGACCTCGAGACGGGATTTGAACTCGGTTCGCCGTAAGTGCAGTTGCGCTATATGTCGACACACTAACCACAAGGCTATAGGCGCCAACCGACTCTTAACTTTTATAAAGAATATCTCTTTGGATTTGAGACTTTAGTCTTTGCAACTTTACAGATCTTCTTTATGCACCAAGAGCTTGTATCACTTCAAAGAGAAAGGAAAAATTGTAATCGCATCATATGACCCCTTTAAATGTAAAAGCGTGAGTAAATGCATATGTACCTGTAAATGTTGGGATCGGATGCTGATGAGCGGGTAATCATGTGACTGTTGAGTCTGACCTCAGTGCCTGATAGCGGCATCATTGTTCTGTCCGTCACGTGCCGCAGCAGATCGGCTGTGGACAACAGGACAATAGAGAGTGACATGCTTATACAACCATATGACATAAACCTGGGCCTCACGTCCACAGACAGTCTGAAAGAGTCCACAGTGTATTTAATTATATCACACTTAATTTATGAATGTCATTGCATTCGATAAGAGACTGTCAAAATAAGGGCATGCATTTTACAAAAGAGACCTCACAGGCACATTTTTCATGCAAAACAATTCAGAAAAACAAGTTGGAAATGCTCAAATAGATCTATAGAAATAGACTCCATGGAACCCCATTCAAAGTCCCTCCAGAACTAGGAACATTAATTATAATACTCCAGTAAAGTTCATTTCATTACCATTAGTTAATGCATTAAGTATCATGAACTAATAATGAGCATTTACAGCATTTATAAACAAAGGTTTATCTTAATTTGAAAATATAGGCCTACTATTGTTCATTGTTAATTCAATGTTAAGTGATATATTAGTATTTTAATAATAAAATGTTATTGTTTTATTTATTAATTTAGGGTAATGTTAATTTATAAATGTACTTTTAATATATGAAATATATATTTAATTTAAATAAAAAGTTGTGTTAGTTATATTTAATATATTATTTATATATTAAATAAAAAGTTATTATGTATATCCTTAATAAAATAAATCACAATTTTATATTATGTAATAATATGTCCTAAGATTACATAATATGAATTATTAATATAGGATAATGCTCATATATAAGAAATAAAATATTGTATTATTATTTGTTATTATTTTTATAAATATACTTCAATTCATTCACAGTTTTAATTCAGTATTTATTTGTTTAACGTAAGGGCATTTATTTAAAAAACAGCGCAGGCACACTTTTCAGAAAATAACTGAAATGCTAAAACAATAGATCTAGTGTTAAAAAAACTGAAAATGAGAAAAACGAGAAAAGACCCTACAGTACTTCAGTGCAGTTGCTTTGATATTCTGTTTTTAAAATGCAATTAGATGTTGACAAGTGTGAATCCAGTGTCTAAATGCATTGTAGGGTCATTAAGGTGAACTTCAGCTGCCTTTTTTCTAGATTACACATTCATATTTAATATCTAACCATGCAGAGGCCCATCACCCATAGCAAACAAACACAGCAATACAGACAGATGTAGGTCACGTGAGTGTTTGGCTTCATTCTGTCAGATTACAAATCCATAAACAGCCTTAAATGAGTTCAGATCCAGTTCAGCTCTGTTTGTCTTTCTAGATCTGTCTCTGTATTTTCTCTCTCTGCTTTTGTCATTCATTATTGATGCTCTTTTTTCTGTGAACAATGTAAAACAGCCTTTTGAATGAGTTTTTTTCACGGCGAGAACGCGGGGTGTCTCAAGCAGTTGGAGTCACAGATGAGATGGCCGTTTTAGCAGAGAGACATATTTAGACAAACACACACATTAACAGACGGATATAGAAACACACTCACTCGTGGCAGCTGTGCTGGTTTCACAAAGACACAAGCAGTGTGGAGGTCAGAGGTCAAGCGACTGAGACTCCCACTCTCTCCATGTACCCAAAATAACCTGCGCTCAGTCGTCCTGGATCTCTCTCACATGGAACAGCTCAAGTTGACTCACACAGGTGTTCAGTCACAGGTGTAGCTCAGCAGTTCACGGCACAATACTTCTGCCATCCTTTTTTCTTCCTTTAAAATAAAGGTCATTTGCTTAAATATTTTTATTAAGGACATCCACTGATTTTAGGTTTTATTTAAGTTATTTAAGACAACATTTGAAGCCCATCCAGAACTCGGAGAATTAATGGTAAGACTTTACAATAAAGTTCAAATCATTAACGTTAGTTAATACATTAGATATAATTGAAAACCATTTTTTACAACATTTATTAATCTAGGTCATGTTAATTTAAAAATATTAAATACACTGCTGTTCATTGTTAATTCATGGATGTATTATTCATTTATTTGTTTTTATTTATTCCTCTATTGTTAATTATTAGTATATATTTTTTTTATTTTGGATAGTTTTAATTTATTAATAATTCACAGTTCTGCTGGTTTGTTTGTTTATTCTTATTTTTATACGAATATATATATATGTGTGTGTTTTAATAATAAAATAATGTATTATGTTTTATTTATTAATTTACAATTATATATGAATATATATTATAATTATATTACACAGTTCAATTTAGTGTGTGTGTGTGCATATTTATTAATTTAATTCACAGTTTTGTTAATCATATATTTTATTATTATTTATATTTTAATAATAAAATGTTTGTTTTATTATTAGTTATCTTAATCTAGATTTATGTTTATTTCTACATATATTTATATTTTATTCATTTTTTTTATTTGATGAAATCTACTGTTTTATATGGATTAATATAATATTTTTATACATTGTCATAATTGCATTACACTGTGCTGTGTTGACTTAATTTACAATAATGTTCATTTATAAATATACTGTTGTTCATTGCTAATTTACAGTTCTATTATTTGTGTTAGTCGTGTATTTTTATTTTAATAATAAAATGTTTTATTATTAGTTATTTATTTAGAGTTATGTTCATTTATAAATATATTTTATTAAGATTTTTTTTATTTTGGTAAGTTACGATTTTTCTTTGAACTGGCTGTAACTGGACCTAGATTAAATAGTGGAAGCATGTAGAATGAACTTCACTGTGCAAGCCTCTGCACTGTATTTGAATTAAGTTAGATTATTTTATTAAAATATTCATTTTGGAAGCGTGTTGTCCCCGGCCCCTGATTGAGAACCACTTACCCAGATCCATCCCGATCAAACATAAAAGTATCTTCTCTATCTGAATGTGAAGTTGTGACCATAACAGAAGTCTGTGATGGATGTGCAGCGTCTGAAGAAACAGACAGACAGTGATTCACTGAGCACACCCAACGGCTCCTGAACTGCGCACAGCGAAGGATGTAATAATACAAATGAATTGATAAAATACATCACTCTGATTTGATAGATTGTCAGCCAGTACGCCGAGGCTCTGCACTGCCCTTCATTCATTCAGCGTGTGAGTGTGTTTTTGCTTTGCAGCGATGGCAGTTGTGTGTGAGACTCCAGTGTGAGCGGCGCAGTAGGAAGGGACGAGAGCTCTTCAGTTCTTATCAGGCTTTAGTGAAATTCCTCACTCAGCAAATGTGAATGAGACTCTCAGTGACGCGTCCCCACAGGAATCTCTCTCTCTCACACACACACACACACACACACACACACTAACCTGCATGGACTGAAGTGTGGAAACACATCACTGATTTGCACAATCTGCAAAGAACAACATTTGTCCACTAAAAGGTCAGTTATTGTTTGCGTAACAGGTTTAAGGGTTATTAAACAAGCTAATTTACCACAAGCATCAAAATGCATTCTACACTATTCTGTTCTATTCTACAGGGAAAGTCGTCAAATGTGAAGTTGTCACGGGGGCTTCTAAAGTCTAGGTATGTCAAGTCGGGGCAGGTTGTCACATGTTATATGTTGTAATGTTATACAATTAATTACAGTTTCTATGAACCAAAATAATGGTTTGATATTTTGTATTACCTTTTGTGTTTTTGCTTTTACAAATTTCTGTGGATTATAGTTTTGTTTATTGGTTCATTTGTTATTCATATTTGTTTAAATTGTGCTAAAATGTCATATAATATAGGCCAGACTTTAAATCAATAGGGGGCCCAGCAATTATGGTTTGATCTAGTTTGCAAAATGAAAATATGCATTAAAGAAAAATACAATATTAAGTTTAGAATTTCAACCAAAACTTTTTTTAAACATTATTGTCCCTTCCATATTAAAATGTATTAAGTACAATTAAAATGTAATACATGTATATAACTCTGTAATGCTGTACGTGTATTGTACTAAAAAAAATTCATTAAATGGAATTCAGCTGAAATAAATGTAAATATTAATATAAGATGAAGTGCTTACACATGAAAAAACTTAAAATTAGAAATGTTGCCTTTGAAACAAAATAATAATAATTTAATGAGAATAAAGTCATAGCATTGGGAGATTAAAGTCTTAATATTTTCAGAATAAAGTCCAAACAACCAGAACAAAGTAATTGCAATACCAGAAAAGTTAATAATTTAAGACTTTATTCTCAAAATATTATAACTCTAGTTTCACAATGCTTCGACTTCATTCTCATAATCTGTATTATTTTGTATATGGCATTAAAGCTTGTAAAAATGGCTCAAACTAAAACTGGGGAAAAAAGAAAGTTAAATAGAAATAAAATCTAAATAAAATTACAAAAGCATAAAAAATTACTACAACTAAAACTAAATTTGAAAAATTGAAATATAAAAATAAAAGCTATTTCATTTATTATAATGAATAAATACTATAATATAAATATACTAACACTTCTCATCAATACTGTTAATTTTAATAATAATAATAAGCATTGATTTTTTTTAAATGCTCTGTTTCTTTATCCAGCAAGGGATTTAAAAAAAAAAGTGTTTCATGTTGAAGACCTCTTATTTAAGATATTTACCATAAACTGACTTTGAAAAACATCTCTCTGTCTCGTGAATGGACAGCGATTGTTGCTTGTAAAAATGGCTCAAACTAAAACTGGGGAAAAAAGAAAGTTAAATAGAAATAAAATCTAAATAAAATTACAAAAGCATAAAAAATTACTACAACTAAAACTAAATTTGAAAAATTGAAATATAAAAATAAAAGCTATTTCATTTATTATAA